TCTGTAAACGATCGATTATTCATTTGCTTTTTTCTGTTTAGATTTAATAGTGATACTAATAATAACAACATTAGTAATGACAATTTGTAATAATTACAAATAAATTAAACAGTTCGTCATACTAACCGTCGATCCGGATTGCCTCTCGGAGGTTTCACTTTCTGACCAGGTACGACTGCCTCGAATACGAATGGCATCACTCGCGCACATACGCACGATGCGTTATCACGCTGAATCACATAAAACTTATTCATATTACCACATCACAAACTTATCAACGCCATTCTATTCACTCGCATCAACACTAAATCATAACGTTATGAACTGCAATGACACTATGACAATTGAATATAATCGTAATCCAATAATTAACAGAATACATTCTTAAGCTCTTAAAACAACCAACCATTTTTGTTCGACGTTTCCTTGGTTTTTCGTCATCACCTAGTTGACAATCACTTTGCTGTTGTTGCTGTTGCAATTGCAATTGCAGTTGATCATCATCTTAAAACCAGCAAAAATCAATCAACCCTTCAGTGCCACACAAATTTTGCGACTATGAAAAAATTCCACTCTTCTTCGTACCAAAAAATTCTCTTCAATGTCCATTCCCATTTCCATATCAATAATCGTATAACAAAACACTTATAAACTCACATGAATGACTGCTTTTCCTGCGATCCGCTCTTGTCGATGAACGCATCTGATGGACTGCGGAACGTGGGATCGACACGGACAGTGCGGAGAGAGATGACGGTGGCGCGACTGGTGGTGACAACGTGCCGGATGGTTGCGCTGGAATGTAACAACTGCTAGTTGAGGTCGTGGTCATCGAAGAGGCCACTGTTGACGAGGCTTCATTCGAGGTACTTTCCGCGTCGAGACTCTGAAAAATCCGCTTCCAGTATTCTCATTTTCAAGTTTGCAAAACAACTACCTACTATCTATTAGCGCAATAACTAAAATCAAATCAAATTCTATCCGTTCTAAACTTTCAATGCATGAATGTGTTGGATGGATAAAGAATCTCGTGTTGTACCAACCATGCACTGCTCTTGTTTTGGTTCTAGATTGCCCGCTTCAGAATGAAGAGTTTCCGCCGGAGAACGAGGTATCATTAGGGTTGCTGATTTCTTTCTATCATTGCATTTACTCACGCTATTTCGATGATTTATCACATTGTTTGATGCGTCATCATTCATTGAAACACTTCTGTTTAAACGTTTCTCTGGCTTTTCACCATCATACGGTGTCTGAAGCGATCACAATAACAATCGTAACTCTACGGATGATAATAATAATAATAATAATAATAATAACGATAATTATAATCAGGATGACAGTGACACGAACAATAACAACAATAATAATGACAAAAGCGCATCCAAATCATAATCACCGCAACTCCTCATTCATTCTCAAGCAAACTTTCGCGAATTTTGAGCGAATCACCCAATGAAACTACAAAAATTCTGAATTCCTCTCAACCTTCTAATCAATTCCAATGTGCTAAAAATTTGATCACCTCAACTTCTATTGTCGCTAATGTCATTTCGAAATTAAATCCTATTTAAAAGAATACCAGACAAAAAACACATTCTGATGGCTTTATAAAGAAACCCAATAGAATTATTCATAGAACTCACATCATCTTTCGGTGACTTCAGTGTATTGAC